GGGATAGGACGTGATAGCCGAGCGGGCGTGTCAGGGCGCCGGGAGCAAGCAAGTGGCTGGCGTGGCAGAGTGAGCGGAAATGAACTGTGGGTGGCCCGAGCCCGGAGAAGAGGAAACAGTTGACAAAAAGGGAGAGATTCAAAAGGAGGACGGGCTTTTCAAAACACCCAGAGCATCCACTGACCCCCTTCCGTCATTTCCCCTCCTCACTCTCCGGCCTGAAACCAGTGAGTGTTAGAGCCGCAGAAAACATCTCTGAGAAAAATCTTCCCGTGGACAGATTTTTTAAAAAAGTGCCAATATATTGCTTTGATAAGGGATGCATTTCCTGCATCCCAGTATCTGAGCCAGACTTCAACACATTTAGAGATTACAGCAGGTACAAACCATAGCTCTTGATATCAGATAACTTGTGAGACCTAGCACTTCTTAGAAGGGGCAATCCATGACACTGAAGCTTTGCCCCCAAACTTGGGTGAGTGCATACCCACATCCATCGCCCGGAGCTTCTATTCCTCTTGCCAAAATGCTCACCCCCCAGGTGGGCATATGACTAAGCAAGGCTAATAAAAGAAATCCTGTGACTTTTGCTGAACCTATTAGAACAGTTTTGTTCTTTGTGCTTGGGTTGGCGAACAAGCAGGGAGTACATCTGGAGCTGGTGGCCTTGGCCATCACTTTGGGGAATGCTTGCCTGAGAACCAACACAGGTGAAAGTAGAGCCAAAAATCCAGGGAGCAGATGCCCAAGGATAGCATTTGAACACCTGGATCCAGCTGTGCCTGAAGCCAGACTTTACCATTGCTGGGCTAACAATCTTTTTTACCCCCCTCACTTATGCCAGTTTAAATTAAGTACATACTCAGTGACTTGGAGAAAATTTCAGGGGCTTGGTCAATACCTATTTCACTAGTTTCAAGGAGAGCATTAATTAGTAGCAATGAATGAAATGGGAGAAAGTGAGTTCTAAGGAGCTGGATAGAAGTAAAAAACACCCACCAACATTTATCTTCTCAGTAAAAGTGGAGGGAAAAATCCACTTGGGGAAAAGAGATTACAGTCATTTGAGACCTTAGATCAGGGGTGGGGAATCTTTTTCTCTGCCAAGGGCCATTTGGATATTTATAACATCATTCTCAGGCCATACAAAGTTATCAACTTAAAAATTAGCTATGAAAAAAGCTCCTAGATTTATTGAATTTCGAGTGCCAGTTGCAGTTGCCCTGGCAGGGCCAGACCACATGACATTCCCTCTGGCTGGACATTCCCCACTCCTGCCTTAGATAAACATTAAAAACAAGTGTGTTCTAAAACATTACTTAAATACACACACACACACACACACACACACACATCCAATCTGTGTGGGTGAGCAGAAGAAAACCCATTGGAGCCCTGACCGGGTAGCTCAGTTGGTTAGAGCATCCTCCCGATGCGCCAAGGTTGCGGGTTCGAGCCCTGGTCGGGCCACATACAAGAATCAGCCAATGAATTCATAAATAAGTGGAACAACAGATTGATGTTTCTCTCTGTCTCCCTCTCTCTCTCAAATCAATCAATAAAAAATAAAATGAAAACCATCGGAATCACAGGTTTTGCACTTGTGCAGACAGGGGTAGTTTACACGCTGTCCTTGTGTATTCCGGGAAGAAGAAAACGCTCTTTCTAGGTGACCAGAGCTAAGCTTTCGGTTCCTATGAGAGCCCACCCTGGACCTGGTTGCAGTGAAAGTGCTCTCACAGAGCAGACAAGCCGGTGGCAAAGCGCAGAGTCCTTTCCATGAGCACAAACGTGCAAGAGCTTAGGGCAGACGGAACGGAATCGAGTAAACGCAGACGGCAGCTCCCCCGGAGTCGGGGGCGATGGAAGATGGGTCTCTTTAGTGCAAGAAGGTATTTTGTATTGTGTGTGTCTTTTCCCTTTTTAAGAAAGTCGTTTTATCTGAACATGGGCCTGAGAATTTATTTCCAGGGGCAGCTCAGTGTCACTGGCGAAGAACTTAGATGGTGGATCAGAAGGGCCTGGGTTTAGCTCTGAACTCCTGGTTCATTAAATATGTGACCTGGCCAGGTTGCTTCATATCTTTGTGCCTCAATCTGATTATAAAACGAGCGCGAAAGCAGCAGTGCCTTCATCAAGGGGTGATTGCAAGGATTGAATGACATACTTCCCGTAGGATGCTGAACACGGCAGGTTGTGTGTGGCGGATATTCGGTAAATCAGCTGTTTTGTAAGATTTGTGTGTTATTCCGACAATGACTAGTCTACATTCCTAAACATCGGCCATAAAACAAGGAATTATTCCAATGGTTTCACCTACAAACTTGAGTGCTCTGGAAAGACTTTAAAAAAAAGGAATGATAGGAATTAATTTAGCCTCAAAAATCTAAGAGCCTGGGCCAGAGAAGTTTCATTTTCAAGTACCGAGAAGTCTCAGTCAAAGCAAGCTGCTTCATCAGAATTCTTATTAGATACTGAAAACACACATACACAGTTTGTATTACAATATTCAGAACTGCCGAGGAGGGATTATCTTCCATTTTGCCTCATGTGCCAAAGCTGACGTTCTCTCTTGGTAGGATGCTAAAAACGACACTGAGTATTCATGGGGCTTCTCGTGTGCCCCAAATTATGATAAAGTGCGATATGGAACCAGAAGCGTTTTATTGAGTTAGTATGGCAAATCTACATGTTAGGTACTATCATCACTCCCATTTTACAGATGGGGACACTGAGGCTCTTAGGAGTAGAGTCACTTTTCTGACGTCATCCAGCTCATCAGCGGTGGAGTTGGGATTAGAACTCATGTTTGCCTGGTCCCAAAGCTCAATCAAGCTCCTAGGAGCATGTTGCAGAAGCAAGAACAGAAGCCAGGCAGGGGGGAAAGATGACTGAAGCAGACATGGTTTGGTTAATATAATTAGATTAATAAAAACCCCTTATGCACAAGAGAAAAAAAAGAACCCGTGTTTCTCACATCTAGAAAATAAGTGATTTTTTTGTTCATTTTAAATAAAAATTTAATTATGCCATTTATCTGCATAAAACTATCCAAAGAGAGCCTCACCACAGTAAGATCACGTCCACGGTCTACCGTGGACCATGGCTTGTCCCGGTTCTTCCTGTCACCCGTGGCCACGCCAACCTAGTTCCCACCCAAAGCCCTTTGCCCTGGGGCTCTTTCCACCTGGCCACGCTTCCCCGAGCATCTCCCCACGCCCACCTGCCATCACTCCGGCCGCGGGGCAGGCCTGGGGGAAGACCCCTGGCCCTCCCCTCCGTGGCTTTGCAGAGCACCCCTCGGCCTCCGGATCGTCTCCTTCGTCCACGGGTTGCTTTCCCCCCACCGACTGGCAGCCCGGGCCGCGGTGTGCTCCGCCTCCATTCAGCTGCGCGCCCAGCGCCCGGCCGTGCTGGCGCGTCTACCGGGGTTCGGTCGGGGACTTGACTGTACCCGTGGCCTCACATCCCGTGTTCTGCTTGTGCAAAAGGTGCAGGACCGGCAAACCCGCAGAGAAGGGAAGGGGATTCGAGGCTGGGGGCTGGAGGAGGGCACTCGGGAGTGCCAGCTGAGGGGCTGCTCCCTGACGGGTGGGAACATTCTGGAATTGGACTGTGGGGATTGTTGTGCCACCTGGTGAACAAACGAACAAGCACCGAACTGTACACTTTACAAGGGTGCAGCTTTCAGTGTGCGAATTACAGCTCGAATCTGGAAAAGAAGCTGTCGGAACAAACATGAACACGGCAGGAGCCGGGGGGACAATGGACACTGGTCATGAGCAGACCGGTCACAGAAAGGGAAGCAAGGCTGGCTTTTAAGCATGAAAAGATGTCCGGCCTCATAAATAGTAAAATACCAGCAAATAAAATCACAACGAGACTTAGCCCTCCGCCTGCTGAACAGTAAAGAGGGAGAGCTCTGGCGCCTTAGGGGGGCCAGGGTGTGGAGAATGGCACACGCGTCTTTGGTGGGAGCCTGATTTGGCCGCCTGTTGGCAGGATGTTTAGTGACACATGTCAATATTTAAAGGTTCACAAACTCCCAAGCTCTGATTTCTACTTCTAGGACGTGCCCCCCAAGTATAATTCCTCGGAGGCAGGCACACTATTTGCAGCACACTGTTACTGTGGCAAAGACTGGAACAACCTGAGCTCTTCTCAGTGGGGACCTGGTTAAGTCAGCGGTCGTTTGTCCCCACGATGACCTACTCCCCAGGCATCGACGTTTTCTGAGACAGCCAGTAAGTGATAAAGCAGGTGCATCCAACCGTAGGCACAGTGTGTCCCGTGTGTTTTCTAGAAATGATGCGAGAGGCAGGGGAGGTCCGAAAAACACCCACGCTTGGGATACCTCTGGCCACAGGGAGCTGTAAAGAGTGCCTGTGTCTAAGAAAGGACATTTGGGGCTGGGGCTGGGGAGCAGTCACAGCCAAAGGGAGTGTTTTCCCTGCCACTCATTCTGTATCGCGTGTACTGTTCCACCCCATCCCATGTCACTTAAAAGTGGACAAATAATGAAAAGAAAAAATGAAGAACAGGAGAGTCTGGAAATGAGAAGTGCGATTTAGGGAACATTTGACCTGATTCCCGACTCGCCCGGGGCTGGCCCCAAGGGACGGGCTCTGTAACTAATGAGCCTGCCGCTCCGGTGGTCGTTGCCGAGTGGGCCCCGCATCCTGCAGTGAGCACACGACCTCGGGGCCATCTTTACATTCCAGAACCCCATCCTCTGCTCAGCAAACTCAGGGACTCGAACTTTAAGTCACTTGGAGTCAATGTACCTCTCAGAGGTCATTTGAAAAAGAACTCCTGAATCAACCCCACGGGCAGCTTATTGGTTTAAGAGGAGAAAACAGAGCCAGAAAGGGCACCGACCACGGGCGACACCCCGCCTGCGCGGTCCCTCCCTGTGGCACACACGTGGGCACACCTTCTCGTGGGCAGGATGCCTGGTGAGCCCAGAAGCCAAGCAGACACACTTAGAGTTAGCTATAGGATTTAAATGTTTAATGCTTCAAGCTGGTGGTGATGATGATGATTTAGAAAAAGCTACTATGTTAAGAAACGTGAAGTTGGAAAGGAACTTTACAGTAGCCGAGGCTGGCAGTTACGATGCGGCCAGCTCGGTGTTTGGCCTGCAGTGTTTAGATATTTTTGAATTGGGAAATTTCATCTGAAACTCCTAAAATTGGGCTTTCATTGAAATATCTTCTTATCTGTAGAGGGATTTCCCCCGGGCAGCCAGGCCTGGAGCCGAGTAGAGTCTCCTAGGCATTCTAGCTCTCCCCATGCCTAGCCTCCTGCTGGGTCTCCGATGCAGGGCTCTGAGGGCGAGTCTAAGTCCCTGGAGGGCTGGTAAGAACAGGTCGGGGGTCACTGCCCCCAACATTTCTGACTCAGGAGGTCTGGCTGGGGGCCCAGAATCTGCAGGTCTCACAGTTCCCCGTGATGGGGTGCTGCTGGACCAGGACCGCTCCGAGAGTCACGGATACAGGGCTCAGCTCTTCAGCTACAGATGCAGCCAGACTGAAACGTAAGTTGCAGAGCAGGGATTATAACCTAGTCTGTCTGACTCCAAATGCCACACTCCAAGTGTTTTTACTCCACGGCTTTCATCTCAGCTGCCGTGAACCTGAGGCCTCCTCCAGTGGTCACACGTATCACAAGAGACGAGACTTGTTAAGAGTTGAATTGTGTCCCTGCAGAAGGTGAAGTCCTAACCTCCAGTACCTGTGACCTCATTGGCAGATGACCAGGTAAAGATGAGGCCAACTAGGTTGAGCCTCAATCCAGAGCTACTGTTTCCTTATCAAAGGGGAAATTTGGGCACAGAGACAGATGCATAGAAGGGAGATGCTGTGGGGACACAGAAGGCCATCTAGAAGCCGAGGGACGCTGGAGGCCACCAGGAGCTTGGACAGAGGCACCACATAGTCCTCAGAAAGCATGAGCCCTGCTTGCCCACACCCTGAGCTAGGACTTCTGGCCTCCAGCACTGTGACACAATCCATTTCTGGGGCCTAAGCCACCTGTTTGTGACACTTTGTTAGGGCAGCCCCAGGAAATGGACACCAGTGTTTTCAAGGTAAGCCTGTGGCTTCCATCCTTCCATTTCACTTCAGCACAAGCAGATCAGCAGCCCCAGCCCAAGAGGAGCACCCGTGGCACTGACCATCGTCGTAGAGTTGCACTGTGTACGTTGACACCATCACCGGCGGCATCCCGTTTTGAGCACAGTCCCTCTTAGACGCGACCTGAACAGAACACATGCCAATATCAGCCAGGTCTTCTGGGAAAATCAGAAGAACTCGGGGCCACAGGGGTTCTTCCCAAATTAAACTTAATCTAAAGGCTGTTTCTGGAAACTCCCCAACATTCTATCAGAAACACCTGATCCCACCCTAAAGACTGGATTCCTGGGATCCTGAGAATACTCCCGCGTCCGCACCTTAGCTAGGGGGCCCCGCGGGCACAGGCAGGGCGGCCCGTGGTGCGGATGGACCGCCCAGGGTAACGGGGGCACCTGTCTGGTCAGCGGGGAACAATGACTTAGCACGTAGATTTCGAAACCTGTGCGGTTGGCCTCCCCACGCTGTCCTGCACACACAGGCACAGCCCTCAGCCCGGCCCTTAGTCAACACACCTGTCAGCACAGGAAGCTCACTGTGGCTTTTCTCTGCTCCACACCCACCCCCTCTTCTCACGTTGCAGCCTTTTTTCAATTTTAGGCCGCTGCCCTGATTTTTTTCTCTTCTGCTATTTATTGCAGATATTAAAAAATATTTTATGTATGTGTATGTGTGTATGTACATACACACATACAGACACACATACACATACACTCACATGGAGAGAAAAAGTCACAGAAGAGACAATATGGTATATAATGTCATTTAATAATAAAATCATCTAAATTATACCAGAGTTGACATTAATTGAATGTTACTTTTATGCTAAGTACTTTGCATGTTGTGTCTTATTTTGTGAATTCTCAGTAGCATTATACATGTTAATAAGCGCAGAGAAAATGAAAAACTAAAGCTTTCTAAAGGTGGGGACCTCCTGGGGGATATGGAAGGCTTTTCCTTTCTTTATATTTTTATAATGGTTTTCATTGTTTCAAATAAGCCCGTGTTCTGGGTTTATCATGAACTCTACCGAGAAGCCACAAAAAAGCTAAACATCAAACCCACATGACCATTTGGCCCTGAGGTTACAGCTGGCTTTCCTGGGCCAATACTTGGTGTGCAAAGTTGATTTATTTGGCTCACAGAATTTTAAAAAGTATTTTGGGATCCGTTGCCAATATTTAAAAGTCAGGAGATTTCATCAACACTGTTTTCCAACTCCTAATGAAAATAAGAGTCTTGGAGCCTCTTGTTAGTATATGTTGGCCAGAGCCGGCAGCCCTCGCATGGGCCCCACCACACTGCTTTGCTTACTGTGACTGCCTAGCCCTGGAGGCTAGAGGCTCCCAGACTTGGGATCATTTGGGCAGCTTGAGAACTTACCGGGCCCACCCGGAGGTGTGTTTTAGTTGGTCTTGCGGAGCTAGCCATCAGGAATTCTAAAAGTGTCCCAGGTAATTAAATATACAGTCAGGTCTGACACCTGCTATGAGTGTTCAGCTGCTTCTTCAAACCCAGCCTTCCATCTGAGCGGGAATTCTCTCTCTGATATGACCAATGTTAGTTCACAGGGCTTATCTTCCTCCTGGGGGATTCCATGTTTAACTGGCTGCCAAGTCTTACACTGAACCGATCTCAGAAACACCGATGGTGGGAATTCAGGCTTTCTGCTACCTGGCCGTAGAAGACCTAAGAAGGGCATTTGGGTGCCCTTGACCTCAGCCTTCCAGAGCAGTTTCTCAAAGACGCATTCCTAAACTAGTAGACGCCCCACACCCGGCCTTGGCTGCGCATGCAACAGGTGAGGAGCTCTGAAAATTTGGGAGCCCGCTCTTACCCCCCTCACCCCCACATTCTAATACAACTGGTCTAGGGTGCGACTCTGGTTCCCAGGCGATCCTGGTGTGCAGCCAAGACTGTGAGCTACTGATCTACACCTGGGTCTCTCATCCTTGTTACACTGACATTTGGGCTGATCATTTGCTGTGGGGCCGTCCTGTGCACTGTAGGCCGATCATTTGCTGTGGGGCCATCCTGTGCACTGTAGGATGTTTAGTAGAGTCCCTGTCCTCTACCCACTAGGCCAGTAGCACTGCCTGAGTTGTGATGACCAGAAATGTCTTCAGGCATCGCCAAGTGTCCCCTGGTGGGGACGGGCAAAATCACCCACATTGAGCACCATTGGTCCAAACCCACCCGGGAGCAGGTATCAAATTGGCTCCAGAGGAATCACCTTGGGGGTCCTTAAAGACACAGGATCCCTGGGATCCCAGCCCTGCAATTTCCGATTTGGTGTGTCTCAGGTGGGGCCCTGAAGCCTGCAGTTCTGCCAAGCTCTGTGATGGACTCTGGAGGTTTGAATGCAAAGACAACCCGTGTGAAGAGCGGGTCTCTATGATGAAGGCTGAGCAGGCCATTTATTCAGCTCTCACCCCCACTNAGGTTTGAATGCAAAGACAACCCGTGTGAAGAGCGGGTCTCTATGATGAAGGCTGAGCAGGCCATTTATTCGGCTCTCACCCCCACCCTGCCTCGTAGCAGCTAGTGACCCAGTGACTGCGGCTGCACTACCTCGTGAGTGTCTGTTTCTGCATCATTCTCCTGGTCCTCAGCTCTCTGAGGAACGCTCATTTGGTTACCCATCGTTCCTGCAATAGAGAAGAAAGAAGAGAGAGAAATTAAAATTCAAGACAAACCAAACTCTAACTCCTGCCAGGGAAGCGAAGGTGCAGACCTGACAAGTGACGGGGGCGTCATCACAACGGCTGGCGTTTATTTGGGGGAGTGAGAAGTCTTAGGCGGTCATCCCAGAGTTAGAGTCAAATGCAGCCCCGGTTTTCAGCTGCATTGCATTTCAGGGTAGGTGACATTTCTTCCCTCTCAGTCACAGCTTTTACACCAAGGAGATTTTAGGATGGCTATAAAGCAACACTGACAGTTTTTAGTATTCTCTGGTTCTCAAACTAAGTGAGGTCCCCCTGGCATTTTTTTCATAACACTTGGCACTACTTGTAATTATACACATAAATGGCTGTATTTTCACTCATTCATTAATTCAAAATATATACTGAGCATCAACTCTGCACCTTAGGCTGCACCAGGCAGGAGGGTTACAACTGTGAGTGAAAGAGATGAGGCCCCTGACCTCAGAGAGCTGCAGTGCTGGGGGAGGGTGGACAAACAATAAACAGACAAAACCCCACAAACCAGGCCACTTCCGATGACAAGCGCGGTGCAGCGGTTATGAGCACAAGGCCTGGAGCAAGACAACCTGGGCTTGAACCCTCTCTCCGCTGCCCATCACTGTGTGTCCTCAGGTGAGTTACTTAGCCTCTCTGTACCTCACAGGAATCCTACACACTCAGTGAATTAATGCTTGTAATGCAGTTAGAATAATGTCTAGCTCATAATAAGCAATATATAAGTGTCTGTTTAGCAAAACACATAGGGTAAAATGCTCTCAATAAAAGTAAATTGGTAACATAACAAGAGGGGCCATGGTAGAGGACAGGAGGGGAAGGGCGGCTCTGGCAAAAGTGACGATTGACCCCGACTTGGAGGGGGAAGCTGAATGTTTAACTTCTGTCTCCCTTCTCCAATGAACTGTAAACACCAGGAGGGCAGGACTGTGCGTCTTTCCCACGGGGTAGCCCCGGTTCTCAGTGCCGCATTTGCGTTTCTCAGGCGCTAGTTATTACTCATGGTCGAAGGGAGGGACACATCATTGGTAGCCACCCTCGCCCACATGGTCGTCCCTAAGCCTCTGAGAGCCTTGTTACCATTCTAACAAGTCAACACGTATTTAGCATGCTCTCCTTCGCGCTCCATCTTCCAAATGCGTTTCCTGCAGCTTCTCATTTGGCCCCACAGCACCTGTGAGACAGGTGTCACCGTCATCTCGCTCTAGATGCAAGGAAGCTGAGTCACAGGAGGTTCCATTACTTTCTGAAGGTCGCCCAGGTAGCCATGGCAGAGGCGAGATGCAAACAGGCTGCTGTGCCCCTAATGGCTGGGATGCTCCACATGTTACACCTGCCCTTGGAGAGGAGGGAATCGAGTCTCCAAACTCACCCAGACACAGACCCAGCAAGTGGCCAAGTGAGGATCTGACCCAGAGTCCCTCTGGTTGCAGAAGTGGGGCTCTTCCAGCTTCTCCGAAATCTGCTGCCTCGCTCCCTAACATTTCTATTTCATGCAAACGATTCGGATGTAGGCCCATCTCCAAACACCTGGCTGCTGGCTCATCTGCTCTGTGGCTCTCAGAATAAAAGCCAGGACTTTTGATTTCTGGCTGAAAGCAGCCAGGCACCTCCAAGGGTTCCCATGGGCCTCTCACCGGTGGGGTGAGTTTTTATGCCCTGGTAATCGACACGGCGAGTAATCAGAAATTACAGAGGGAGCAAAGGGTCATAGATCCCACCTCCTGGTCTCTAGGGGGAATTCGGTAGATAACAGAATCAGGATTTTACATGTTTTCTAATCACACCACGTAATCAAGCCGAGCAGTGCTAAAACATACAGGACACTAGGTATTTGGCAGTATTTTCTATTTGTAAAACCCATGAAGTGCATACTCACAATAGACCATCGCTTCACCTGTAAATGGACATTATGAATGTAATATTGAGTCCTCAAGACCAGGGTCAGCAAATGGCAGCCGCGGGAGAAAGCCAGCCTGGGGCCAGTTTTGGTCCAGCCAGTGAGCTAAGCATGGGTTTTACATTTATAAGTGGTTGAGGGGGGGAAATCAGAAGGATCATGGATTGCAACTCATCATAATTATGTTTCCCATAGTAAGACTGACCAGGATTTAAACCCACTGTGTATAAAAATAGTGACAATAACAGCTCTAACAACCATATTAATAAAATAGTAGCAACAACAGCAGCAACAATTTTGGTGAATGCTTATGGTGTGCAGGAGAAACTGTCCTAAGAGCATTACTCGCGGTAAACGCATTCACTCCTTACAGCAAACCAACAAGACAATGGCATCATCATTCCAATTTCACAGATGGGAAAACTGAGGTTCATAGGTTACCTGTCTTGACCAAGGCTACATGCACGAATATTACACACACTGGACTGTGTCTCTGTCTAAATGCCGCTTTTTACACAATTAAAAATGACTTACCAATGGGTTTATGAACATTTAAACCTCCTATTATTCAATTTAAATTCAGTCCAAATTGGGGTCTGAGGTTATGAAAAATCTCCGGGCTGGGAGGATTGTGATGCGTGTGAGGGCAGGAGAGAAACCTTGTCACCCACAGAGCTGGGGTTACACAGTCCTGTCATTGCACATTTTCAGTAGCCTCTCTGGATTTCAGGGCCAAGTGGCCTGAAAGGAAGAGAGGCCATGTGGACGTCTTTGTGAGTGACGACCTGGATTCAGGTAACAACTGCTTTCCGACAAAGGTCATAACATGTGAAGTGAAATCGCTCCTGCCCTTCAAATTCTGTGAAGAGCAGGATTTAAACGGGACTAAAGCGAAGGGTTACCGCCACCTGTTGGCGGGTGTCAGGATCAGCAGAAATGAATATATTCGGCGACAGGGCGAGGTCCAAACGCCTGGTGAGGGCAAACAAAAGGCTTTCCAGTGAAACCTTCACAATGAAAACGTCCGTTAAAAGTGCAGCAATTAAAAGTTGGCAACGGAATGGCAAGTCTTTTAATGCCCAAAAGATAGTACAGCCAATAAAACCATGATGACAGTGGCACCTGACGTGCGGGCCAGCCCTGCCTGGTGGCTCCGGGTAGAGAGCAGTGTGGCGTGTCGGGGAGGGACGTGGGCTCTGCAAATGGGCCCCGAGTCTGGAATCCCTGCTGGCTGCATACTGAGGACGTGGCCCTGGGCCAGTTACTGAGCCTCGCTGGGCCTCAGTTTCCTAATCTGTACACCGGGGGTAATGACAGCAACCGCTTTAAGAGGTTGTTGTGAGAATTAAACTAATTAACCTATGCAAGGTGCTCCGGACGGGGCCTGGCACATGGTAACGTCCACGTAAGCGTTAGCCATGGTTAGGATCATCAGCATTGCTATTGATATTTTCAGTCAGTGTCCCCCAAAGTTGCCTGATAGTAAGAGTCAACTGAGGAACCTGCCAGCACTTTTGATTCTCACTGAAAAGTCAGTCTGGGGCCCCAGAGCTGTAGTTTTAGCAAATACATCGGTGAGCCTCATGACCAGGCACGTATGGAAAATATGGTGATGGGCCGTCCTGGGAGGAAAGTCCTGAGCAGACCAGGGGGGGCTGACCACCCTACTGGCCGCTCGAGGACTCTGTGAGGCAAGGACTCTTTTTAGCCTCATTTAACAGCTGGCAAAACTGAGGCTCAAAGGAGGCTCAGGGAATAATTCCCGTGATGTTTTCACCAGTTTCCAACAAATCAGACGATAAATCAGATAGAGATTTTCAGCCAAATAAATGTTCTCATCGGGAAGAGCTAGCTTCCATTTGGAACAGGACAGAGCTCGAAGGTAATGCCAAGATGCCCTTTTCTCATGAGCCGCCAGTTCTGATGATCGTAGCTGACATTAAACACAAGTGGCCATATGGCAGAGGGGTTTGTTTCTGAAATTGGACTCATGTTTGAGGGCCCGGTGTGTTGAGAGTGTGGGGTAAATATTTTGCTGGGTGTGGGGGGATCATTCAGATCAGAAAGTCCTTTATTTCTCCACTTTCTGTCTGTGTCCCCGAGGCCAGTCCTCGAACTGTGCCACACTCTAGAATCACGGGTGGACATTCAAGTCTCCATGCTCAGGCCCCAGCCAGGTCGATTCCAGCAGCCTTCTAGGGCTGGGGCCGGGGCATCAGAACAGTTTCAAGATCTCTAGGTGATTTCCATGACAGCCAAGGCAGAGAGCTGCTGTTTTTGGTATTTCAGGGCGAGCGAGTGTCCCCTGGGTGGGGACCACTTGGGTGCGGCATCCTTGACACACAGAACAAGGCAGGGGATTCCCAGACCCTGGCAGGGCCCTTGGGGACCAATCACTGCCAGCCTGGGCATCTGAAAAATTTCCCAGCCCTTTCAGGACACTCCTTTGTGGGCCCTCGGCTGTGTCAGCCTGCAAACAGAGACACACCTGGGTCTGCAGCTTTCCTTCCCTGAGAACCTGTGTGCAGGGCGCCCTTGCAGCCTGGCAGCCTCGCCTTCCCGCTGGCTGTGAGAAGTGAGGAGGGCGTGGGTGCCCGAGGGGAGGACAGCAGAAGGGCCACCTGTGCGGGGAGCACTCTCTCCTGCTCCAAGAAAAGGCTGTGGAATGAGACGGGGCCTCCGTCAATCTCACGATTATGAGGCTTCCAGCAAGGCACTGAGCCCTCCAAATGCATTTTTCTTGCGGAAAATGACAGTGTTCATGATGGTGACAATATTAAATGCCACTGAGTGTTTTCTGGGAGCCGTGCACTTCTGATATGCAGGTATTGACTTGCCTGGCCCTTGCAAGCACCCTCTGGGTTAGATGCTCTTACTTGCTCAATTTTCTGGTGAGAAACTGAGGCGCCGAGAGGTTGTGGCACTAAGCCAACAGGCCTATATATCACAGTGTTGCAGGGAAGGTTAAATGAGGTGGGCACGTTTCTGGCACATGTGAGTACCTGACAAGTGTTCGTGAGATATTTGTAGATATATTGAACATC